AGAATGAGCCAAAAATTCAGCCCAAAATTCACCCAGAATGACCCAAAAATTCACCCAGAATGACCCAAAAAATCAGCCAAAAATTCACCCACAATGACCCAAAAATTCAGCCCAAAATTCACCCAGGATGGCCCAAAAATTCACCCAGAATGACCCAAAAAATCAGCGAAAGATTCACCCAGAATTGCCAAAAAAATCAGCCCAAAATTCACCCAGAATGACCCAAAAATTCACCCCAAAATTCACCCAGAATTGCCAAAAAAATCAGCCCAAAATTCACCAAGAATGACCCAAAATTCAGCCCAAAATTCACACAGAATTTCCCAAAATTCAGCCCAAAATTCACCCAGAATTACCCAAAAATTCACCCAAAAATTCACCCAGAATGACCCAAAAATTCACCTCAAAACTCACCCAGAATTGCTCAAAATTCACCCAGAATGACCCAAAAATTCACCCCAAAATTCACCCAAAATTCACCCAGAATGACCCAAAAATTCACCCAGAATCATCCAAAAATTCACCCCAAAATTCACCCAGAATGACCCAAAAATTCACCCAGAATTACCCAAAATTTCACCCCAAAATTCACCCAAAATGACCCAAAGATTCACCCCAAAATGCCAAAAACAATCACCCCAAAATGGCCCAAAAGTCGCCCAGACTTCACCAAAAATTCAACTTAAAATTCACCCAAAATAGCCCAAAATTAACCCTGAAATTGCCCCAAAATCGCCCAAAATTTCACCCCAAAAATCGCCCAGAGCGACCCAAAAATTCACCCAGAATCACCAAAAAAATCACCCCAAAAGTCGCCCAAAATTACCCAAAATTCACCCCAAAAGCCAAATAAACCCCAATAAATCCCAATTAAATCTGATCAAATTAAATCTCATTAAAATCTGATAAAACCCAATTAAATCCCAATAAACCCCAATTAAATCCCCATGAAACCCAAATAAACCCCAATAAAACCCAATTAAAACCCAATAAATCCCCAATTAAATCCCAATTAAACCCAATTAAAACCCCAATAAAACCCCAATTAAATCCCAATAAAACCCAATTAAAACCCCAATAAAACCCCAATTAAATCCCAATAAAACCCAATTAAAACCCCAATAAAACCCCAATAAATCCCAATAAAACCCAATTAAATCCCAATAAAACCCAATTAAATCCCCATAAAAACCAAATAAACCCCAATAAAACCCAATTAAAACCCCAATAAAACCCCAATTAAATCCCAATAAAACCCAATTAAAACCCCAATAAATCCCAATAAAACCCAATTAAAACCCAATAAAATCCAATTAAACCCAAATAAAACCCCAATAAAACCCCAATAAATCCCAATTAAATTCCAATAATTCCCAAAAAAACCCAATAAAATCCAATAAAAACCCCATAAAATCCCTATAAAATCCAATTAAATCTGAATAAAAACCCAATTAAATACCAATAAAACCCAATTAAACCCCAATTAAAACCCAATAACACCCCAATAAATCCCAATTAAATTCCAATAAATCCCAATAAAACCCAATTAAAACCCAAT